CAGAGAGAGAGAGAGAGAGACAGAGAGAGAATTTTTAATATTTATTTTTTAGTTCTCGGCGGACACAACATCTTTGTTGGTATGTGGTGCTGAGGATCGGACCCAGGCTGCACGCATGCCAGGCGAGTGCGCTACCGCTTGAGCCACATCCCCAGCGCCCCCAACACATTTTTATACTGCTGAGAAAAACACTCTGGGGAACACCCTCCCTCTCCCCAACTGGAGGCCTAGGAAGCACCCCGGTTCTTTCTCCAAGGCTACATCCCAACACTCTAGAGCTCCTCTATAACCACTAAACATATACAAGGTACCATTGGGCCCCGTCTGTGATTTCTTGGTGTTGGGGGGGGGGGAGTTGCCTGTTCCGCCCTAGGGAGCTGATGGGAACAAGGCAGTGTGGCCCGAGGAAGGGTCTGCCTGGAGATGCCAGGCTTTGCCTGATCCCACCTCTGCCACCAACTAGTGGCATGGTCCTGGGCAAACTGCTTGACTTCTCTTAATTTCCATCATCTATAATATAAAGGGTGAAAAGAAAGGACCTGTAATGTTCTTTTCAGTTCTAAGTTCTATAATGTTGCGATTCTGAGTAAGAAACAGGCATGAGCACACATGTGCCAGGAAGGTAGCAGGACTCTTCTGTGCTGTGTTCTCACTTTAAAGCAAAATATTGCTTGAACCCCAAATGAGGGTTCAAGCAATATTTTGGATGGAAATATTTTGTGGAACCCCAAAGGAGGCCATCCACAGAGAACAGACCCTGGTGCCAGGGTTTTGCCCTCCACTCTATATGGCAAATTCTGGCCCTTGGGTCAAATATGTTCCAACATTTGTCCTTGGAAATAAAATGGGAAGAAATCCATACGCGTTCATTCACCTGGTGTCTGTGGCTGCTTTCATGCTGTAACGACAGAGTGGAGGAATTGTTAACAGAGAATATACGACTCGCAAAGTCTAAAAATTTACTCTCTGGCACTTTATAAATAGATTTGCCAGGCTAGGGCCTGTCGGTGGGGTAGGAATAGGGATGGAAGGACTTTCCCAGTGGAGGTCAGCCTCGGGGAGATTCTAGGGGAGACAGACTGCCTATTCTCCACTGGGCTATAGATGAGGGTGTGGAAGGGGTCATTGGTACTTTTCCAGGAGAGACAGGTAAGGATCTTTGAATCCCTACGAACTCTGCTCACTGACCTGGCTGCCTGGAGATAGGCTGGCCCAAATCACCCCCCCCCCAACCCCCCTCCCCACAGAACTGGGTGGAGGTGGGGCAGGAAGGTATTTTTGTCTTAGTGCGTGACAGAGTGAGGGTCCTACTCCAACCTGACCAGACTCTGCTCCTCCCTGCTGGGTTCCATGGTTAATCTGCTCCAGAAAACCTCTCCAATCCTCTGTGGAGCCTGAGCTGAGTTGGGGAGGAGGGAGCCTGGGGTCCAATTCACAGTGCTTAGTAGCACAGCCATTCCCTAGGAAGAGCAGGAAAAGTTGGTCACCGACAGACAAAACAGAATGGAGCCCTGTGAGCGTCACTTAGCTCTCTGATGTATGAACAGAGCCGAGGAGCTGCCAGGGAACTGGGGAGCAGGAAGTGGGCTGGAGCCAGAGAGAGGAAACAGAGACATTAAGGAGAATCAGAATTGATGAAATAAAAACACATCGCCATTTAGCTTCCACTCTTTGTGCTCCCCCAAACTTTCCAGGCTGGGGCTGATCCGGTTTGGATCTCTAGGGGTGCTCCCGTTGCTCCCCACTATTCTCCCCTTTGGAGCTGGTAATTTAGCTCCATCTGGCATCTGTCCTGGCAGACAGCATGGCAGGACGAACCCTTGATCTTCACCCCAGGGTCTCATGCATCCACCTGGCGGGATATGGGGGTCTTTGATCATCTTCTTTCCCTCAGCATGAAGTCTCATCAGGTTTTTTGGGGTGGTGGGGAACAAAATCTCTCGATTAGTTTTTACACAGAGGCTGCCGGAGGCCATATGCCGTGTTCTTCAGCTCTGCCATTATGCATCTTGCTTGTAATTGCTTTAGAATGACACTCATCATGTTCTATTTTATCACCCAATGACAGATCCATCCAGGAGGAGGGAAACACACGCACTCACAGAGCAAGCCAGACTGCATAACGGTTAGGCAGAGTAATTGTTCTGAAATTCTAAGAGCTGGACTCTGTCCACTTGCTTAAATAGAGAAGGTGCTGCATTCTCGGCTCCTGCCTCTGCGTGTTAAGAGCGGACCGACCCAGCAGCCCATGCTTCCAAACGCACTTTCCCACACTCACCAGCTCCCTCCAAGCTCCCCCATAAAACCCTCCCCCCCCCTTTCTTTGCTGTAATTACTCAAGGAGGAAGATTTCCTTCAGCGGTAAAAAAGCAACTATAAACAGAGAAGCAGACATCAGAGTTTTCCCTGGTGTTCAAAGATTCCTCCGCCTCAAGCATCCTGTGCCCTGGGACAAAAGCCCTTCTTTTCCGTCACCCTGGGCCCTCTGGTTACCTCCCTTGTCCCAGGAGCTCACCCACCCACCACTTCCCACCCCAATAGGCGAGGTCTCTCTTATTCCTAAAAGTTATGGGATTAGAAGCTTATGGGGGCTCCTGTGAACTAAGCTGCAGACACTTAGGATCATTGATTCCTGCTTCCTAGGGACAGCAAGGGCAGGACATCTGTACCCTCTCCCTCCCGACTGCTGAGAGGGGCAGAGAATCCAAGAGACCAGCAGCTAGGCCAACAATGGAGGCATCTTTGGCACCAGTGCTGTCCCTGACAGGTGCTGTGTGACACACAGTGGGTGAGCAGTAGAGCACCAAGAACGTCCCTTCCTCAGAGGCCCGAGGTACAAGAGAGGCTTCCCGAATGGGCACAACGCCCGAGCCACTTCTCCCTTTTCCATCTTGAACCACAGCTCTCCATGGCCCACTGTTAGGGCCTGACTCTTTCCCTGAGCTGGCTTCATAGCAGAACCCAAATGTCCAGGACCCCACCAGTTATTTAGGGCTTGAAATCTGGGCCCAGAGGAAATATCCCAGAGCCAAAGGTTCTGTGTTACAAAGGAGGAAGATCCTCAGAGGGTTTGATACAAGTCCCACTTAGCAAACCTGAGGACAGCTAACAGCCTTCAGTCACCCTGCAAATAGAGTCCACCTGGGGCTGTGGATGCCACCCGAGCTGAAGACCAGCCAGGGCCTTGCTTCCTTGCCTCCCTCCCCACAGCAAGACCTCAGGCTCCCAGGGTTCCCAAGAGCATGGTACCTCCCCTAGCCCCGACAGTGGCCAGGGACAGAACACTGAAAGATCCTTGGGGAAACTCAGGACAGAAGTGAGATAAGGGGAGACATCCCGTGGTGACCGCGCAGGCAGAGTGAGGAGAGGCTTGATTGACATAAATTGCTTCAACTCCCGGGGAGATACCTTCTCCTGAACCCCCTTTCTCCTATAAAGATGGGAATAAGCTGAAGTCCCCAGGGATGTAGAAGAGAACAGAACAGACTGTTTCCAGAGCGATTTTCACGGCACTCATTTTTCTATTTCTTAATGAGGAGCCCGAGGGGATCCTGGGGCCTTGGCAGTAGGAGAGGTTAGCGAGTGATTGGGGAACCCCATCCCATCAGCTTTCCATGATAAGGGAGCCCCCCTCTTCCATGGGGTGCTACCCTGCCCACTCCACTCTCCCTACCAGGGCAGCAGGGAAGGGGCCTAGACAGGAGCACCTTCGACCATGCTCTTGTCCTGGGAGGAAGCAGTTCAGCTCTGGGCGAAGCTCTCTCTGTCCAGGGACCTGGGCCACGTCCTGGCCCAGTTTGCTCCTCTCTGGCTCAGCTGCCAGAGATTGGCGGCCAGGATTCTAGCTGGCCACAGAGGGCCTGTCCACCTGGGCTCATCACAAATGCAACGGGCATCCTCAGCTGTCCGTCAGAAAGGCCACTGTGCTCTGAGCAGCCCCATCACTCCCATCAAAACTCATTGGCAACAAGACTCCTGGTCTTTGTTGTATGTGTCCAGTTCCCTACTCACTCATCCCAGATAAACTGTTTTCTTGTTCACTCCAGGCAGCTCCGGGCAAGGGAAGAGTGGAGGCTCACATGATGCTCTGGATGGTCCTTTCTTTTGTCCCTGGGTGTCTGAAGGCCAGGATTGACTTCTGCTTCGAGCCGGGGGCACAGGCTGCTTTGCAAAGCCTGTAGCCTCCCTAGCAGCGGGCGGCATTTACCATGCTCCTTCCCTCTTGGCCCCTCTTCCCACCTACAGTCTGCAAGCCTTCTCTTCCCATCCCCTATGCTGAAGATGTGCGTCACGGAAGGGAAATGAGAGGGGACCCAGAGGGATGTTGACCTAGGGAAAAGGATGTTTTAACAGAGGCCAGAGGAAAGCATTTGAAGATCTCATGGCATAAAGAGAACATCTCCAGGAAATAACGTCATCTGGGTTCCAGTCTGACCATGGCTGCTGCCCAGCTGACGCTGGGACTATCATCTCAGCTTCCATCCACGTAAGAGAAGGGGCTCAACTAGATCCCATCAGGCCCATGTGAGTGATGCCCACAGAGCGGAGCCCTTGGGCGGCTCCAGTCCCATTTCGGTTTTCTGCCCTGCGTTTCCCTGGCCTGAGTTGCTGGCACACCATCTGGTACTACTGGGTGAGCCAAGAGTTATTTACCAGTGACAGCTCTGTTCATCTGGCCATTGCCACCCATGTGCAAGGACAGAAGCGCTCATCCAAAGCCAGCGATGGCTAATATTGAGCCCTCACGTGTGCTGGGCCCTGGTCTAGGCACTTAATAAACATCATTGTATCCAGTCCCCATGGCAACCCTCATTTGCCAGAAGAGGGAACTGAGCTTCACAGGTGGACTTCTGCTTGATGACGCTGTCAGCAAGTGGCAGAGCTGTGGGTGGCACCCAGGCCTGCCTGCCTTGCACAGTCCATGCTCTTACTAACCCATCTGCCAGTGGGGGGCTCCTGAGATAAGCCAGGCCTGGCCCAACAGGTGCAAGGGGTGTGACTCAGGCTGCCATTAGAACCTCAGGACAGGACAAGCCCAGGGCTCTTTCTCCTTTGGCCTGGAGCAAGCTGCAACAGGCCTCTGAATGCAAGTGACTGCCCTAGAGGACTGCACCACTCCCCTCTCTGCCTATTCACCGCTTTCCCCACCTCGACCAGAACAGCCATATCAGTCATCACATCCCACACTTGAGATCCCCTGCCTGGGCACCGGCTTTAGCACCTTGGTGGAAACAACTAGGACTTTTGACCAGGCTGAGGTCCACGTGGGCCCCTAGCCTGTTCCTTCCTCCCCTCTGTTTCTCACCACGAAATGCAGCCCACTGGGTTCCTGGTAAGGACCCCATGGTGGGTTTACAAAAATGACCACCTGTTCTTCCCGTCTTTGTACTCACACCTGATGTGATGTGATAGGATGCTCCTCCTTTCCAAAGGTGGAATCTTTCTCTACTCTTTGAATCTGGGCTTGGCCATTTGATTTCCTATGGCCCTTAAGACATCAGCAAAACTGGAAAAGAGCTTTATACGTTGGGACTTGACCTCTTGGGCAGCAGCTGGGAGCCCTGCAACTGCCACCATCTGAGGCATCTGGACTAGTCTGCAGGATGGTGAGAGACCTGAGCCCAGCCATCCATCCCTGCTGCCCTGGGCATTCTCGAGCCAGCTGCCAGATATGTGAGCCAGGCCACCCCCCAGCTGACCCACAGATGACCAGGAGAACAGCTGACCAGCCAGCCAGACGAGGACAACTGCCCAGGCCACTCAAACCCACAGAATCATGTGACATAATAAATGTTTATGATGTAAGCCACTGGATTTCCAGGGTGGTTTGTTGTGTAGTAAATGAATTCTAAACTCTACAAAGGAACTGATGAAGGTGCTAGAAAATAAGTCCTGCAGTTGAGAGTGGCAGTCTATTGCAGTGGTTTGGGGGCTTCTGGGGGCAGAATGTCCGAGTTTTAAACCCTTCTCAGCCACTGGGTAGTTGTGCGACCTTTGACAAGCTGCTTAATCCCCCTGTACTTCAGTTTGCTCATGTGTAAAATGGAGATGATAGTCATGTCTACTTGGTGGGGTTGTTGTGAAAATGGGTTAATACACAGAACACTTAGAACACGGCCTGATCTACCATGTGAGGGTTTGCCAAAGTCCCAATAGTCAGAGGGTTCTTACACAAAGGAAGGGCGTCCATCAGATCTCTAGCTCCTGAGAGGGCTGACCTCAGGCAGCGAAATGACCCTATCATGAGGGACAAATGTTTGACATCAGGAAAGACTTCCTGAATAGGGAGTATGGCTAGATACAAAAAAGGTTCTGGAATATCTTTTAGGCAGATGGCCTTCTGAGGCCAAGAGAAGCACGGTCAGCAGCAAGGTTCTGCCATCACTGCACCAATGCACACACAGGGTATCCTATGTTGGGGGGGCAGGGATACTTGGGATTGAACTCAGGGGAACTCGACCACTGAGCCACATCTCCAGCCGTATTTTGTATTTTAGTTAGAGACAGGGTCCCACTGAGTTGCTTAGCACCTCACCATTGCTGAGGCTGGCCTTGAACTTGCGATCCTCCTGCTTCAACCTCCTGAGCTGCTGGGAATACAGGCATGTGCCACCACACCCAGCTAGTCTTCTCTTTAGAAAGACCTACCAAAGCAAAGCTTTCATGCCCTCAGAATCATCTTACTGCCTTCCTCGATGCAGCATCTCAGAGGGAATTCGTTCTCTGAAAAAAAAGAGGAGCAAGAACTCATCCCTTGCCTCCATTCACCCGTTAGGGCCTCTGAATTAACTTCTGGCTATAACTCTACTGAAATGCAGCAGAAGGAGGGAACAGGTACCTATATACCACTATGACTACCTGGGCGTCCAGCCAGGGGCAGGCAGTGCCAGGAGAGGGGCCAAGACTCCCTTTGAGTCACCAGCTTGAGTTCTGGGACCTGACCCTCTTCCCTGGGCCAACATTCTCACTGAGGATGGCTCAGCTGGAACCCTGAGTAGCAGGTGAATAGGGATGACTTCTGAGTCAGATGAAACCCAGGAGGCTAAAGCAGGTATTCCTTGCCTATGGGCCATGGTATGCAAGTGATAAAGCACCCCTGGTTTCAATCCCCAGAACCAAAAGTGGGCGGGGGGGGGGGAGAGAATGGTTACAGGCATAGAGACAGACATGGATCCTCTCAGTTCCCAAGGTGGCTGGGTGGGGTGTGAGCAGAACCCCTCATCAGCCTCAAGCAGCCTGGCCAGCCCCAGGTCACAGAGCAAGGTTAAACACACAGCCAGGCGACCACACGGAAAAGCACGGTTCCAAAGCAAAACACTACCAAGCCTAAATGGGAAGGAGGCACAAACTCAGAGGGGTTCCACTTGGAGCAGAACAGAAGGTGATATTTTTAAAATTCTCGCTGTTACTAGAAGGTACACACCAGAATAAGATGGGGACGGGACTGACTCTGGATCTTGCAAAGTTGGGAAAAGGAGGGGTATCATCCTCTCCACTGAGGTGGGGCTAACCATCGCCAAGAAAGGAGCCCTGGGTGCCGAGGCCCCAGAGACGGCTGCCTCCTTCACCTTTCTCCCCATCTCCTTTCACCGCTTACGCGCCTAATTATAAGTGTCACTCCAATTCATTTGATTTATTTTCTGTGCCTGGCAACCATACCTGGCAATCATTTGGGGACCTGAACACATGGTTAGCACGCCAGGAATGTTTGTTGAATGAATCAAGGCCATAGGCAACACTGAATTCAAGTTGGCATCCACAGTTGGAAGCCCTGCTGCCCTCTGCCCACCCACCCCAATACTTTTTTTGTGTGTAAACCAGACTACAGATCCAACGACTGCTGGATCTCCCTGATTCAGGAACCAACCCCCAGCAACTCTCTTAGGATTCTTTACCTTCAGAGTCAATTTCTGGGGAGAAGCGGTAGGTGGGTGGATGAGGAGATCAGGATGATGCTTCTGGTGTAAGAGGGTCACCTCTCAGCCTACTAATCTTCCAAGAATAGAGGGACTCCGGCAGAAAGGAAACAAGTACCTAGAGGTTTCCCGTTTCAATAATGGCCCAGGTTATCCTGAGAATTTTCCCCTCCATACCACTCTCAGCCAGCAGGCCTTCTCTCTCCCCAACCCGCTCCCCTCACCCATAATATTTATACACTCCTGCCAGGTCTCTCTCTTGCGTGATTTCTCAGGATGAAACAGATCTGATGATCCCTGATCATCTTATCCAGATTCCTGCTCCATCTGGACTGGAACTCTCCCAGAGCTACATACCCTGCTACCCTGCCCCAAATTTGGGTATCTCCTCCCTTGCTTTATGCCACAAAATGCACAACCCTGGCGCCCAACTCACTGTCTAATGGTGCTTGGTTAAAGTTTTAGCTTTCGGTGTGTTCAACCATACACGAGCAGGTGCTTCTCACTCTGTCCAAAGGGAACAGGCAGGACCATGATGAGGTGGCAGTGGGCAGGTGCACATTGCTGAACCCCTTCTGAGGCACTCTACTGCGAGCTGGGGCCCAGGACCAGAGCCCCTGACTTTGAGAGGCCAAGGGTGCGTGTACAAGCAGGGGCTGTTTCATCCAGGCTTTATGATGGCAGGAGCTTTCCTAGGAGAGGACTCAACTCACCTGGCCCCATTACACCATACTTCCCCTTCACTGTCACCAACCTGCCACCTGCTCTCTGTCCTCCACCCCTCTGAATACTGGATAGAAAGCCAATGATACATTCACAGCCCAAGAGAGTCCACACACTTACCCTTTCCCCAGTCCTCTGTGATCATTTAATGGTTGACTTCATTCAAATAATAGAAGATAATATACACCAAGCTGCCCACACGGATGCTAACAGCAATCTATAGATCCTCCTGCACTCCTGGGGAGCTCATCAGAAAATAATGGATGTGGAGTAAGGAAGGGCCATTTACAGACTATCAGGATAATAGTGGGAGGATGGGGTGGGGCAGGTAGGAGGTGGAGGTTATCAGGGAGGTGGGGTGGTAGGAGACAATGCAGGGGGTGGGGATGCCAATCATCCCCAGAATCTATCCACCCATGCTACAGGATCCTTGGCTATCCATTCCAAAGGGGCTGATAAGAACCTTAGGTGGTGGCTCACCCAGGGAATCTCCATGGCCCAGGGGGATTGGATCTGGCAGGGCTGGATCCAGGTCATTCTAAGTCTGTGCTAGGACAGATACTCTAGGGTCTTCTTGACACCAAATCCCCAAGAATAAAATTTTTTGACCATAATTATCCCTGCCTTCCAGAACTACTTCCTCACAGAACCTCTGGTTTTTCACAGCCCTTGGACTTTGGGAGCTTAGCAATGTAGATCTGAGTTCAATACAAAGAGGAGGTTTACGATCACTGACTTGTCTCCAGCAATGGAATGGACTGCATCAAAAAGGGTAAGGTCCCCATTTCTAGAATGTTCAGCAGACCTGTTGTTGAAGGGAGTCTAGCTCTGAAAGGCGATAGCAAACTAGACTCTTTCTAAATCTAAGACTCATGGGGCTTAAATGTCTGTCTGATCTCACCCTTTAAAAGCTTCTTGGTCCCAGGGTTAACATCTGATCTTTCCCTTCACATGGCCCATCAGAGGTGTCTAGGGAGCTAGAGTCACAATTCCCTGCTCTCTCTAGGCACAGCACTCCAGCCCTAGGTCACAGAGGGCAGTGACCTTGTTGACTATGTCATAGTGGCTCACCATCCATCAATCCCTCTGGGGGAGTCTCCAAAGAAGGACCTCCCAAGCTTCTCTGCAGATTGGCATTTTGATGGATGCTTTGGCCAAGGATCCTTTTAACTTCTGCCTCTTTGGAGAAGGAGAAATGAAAAGGGGAGGTTGCCGGTGCCCTGCCATTTAGAGGCTGGTTCTCCAGGCTGTGGATTATCCAGGCTACTGGGTTAATGACCCATTTTCCTTGGAAGAGGGAGAGACGTAAGGCGCATGTAACCGTGATAGGTGGTGATAACTCACTAGATGCAACCCATTTATCATTTGGAAGAGGATACTGAGGACCAGAGAGAAGAAGTGACCTGCCCGAGGTCATATAGCCTACCAAAGTAGGTTTTACATAGCCCTACTCCAGCCAAAGGATTCAGCCACCCCACATAAGCCAACTCAGGCATAAAACACTGAACTGGTTGCATGAACACAGCAGCCTCTAGTCTCCAGATGAGAAGCTGACCTTACATGGGAATATTCGCAACATCAAACACGGTGTGTGGGGGTGGGGAGGGGAGGGGCATAATAATCTCTCTAAGCCCTGCCCAAACTGAGCATGCCAGTTGAGTTGCAGGAGAATGTTTTATTATCAACACAATGCCCTTTACTCACGTGATTAGAGAGGGAGGACAGGGGAGGGAACCAGGTGCTTGGCTCAGAAGACAGGGACACAAGTCCTCAGGTGCAGAAATCTCGGGAGATTTCTCCCGTCAGCTACTGAATGCAGAAGAGAAATGGGAGGAAAAAGAAGGGGGAAAGAAAAACCCTAGAGTCCCATATTGTTCTTCCTCCTGCCCGTGCAGAAATGGCATGAAAGAGGCAGACCGAGTCCCACGGCCACAGCGTCAGAAAAGCCAATGAAGGGGAGTGACGGCCACAACTCAGGAGCGGGGATGGCACCTGATCACTGGGATCCCTCCAGGAGGCCGCAAGGCAGGGCTTTGACACCCCAGGGGTGACATTTTCCAGAAGGATCTTCCCCCTCCCCACCCATCTCCCAGAGCTGAGAGAGGTCACAATCACCAGGAGGGGCTATTGCTAAGGGAGCACAGGGGTCAGTCAGAACCCGTGACAAGCACAGGCCCCCACCAGGGCTGCTGCCCCTCATTCCGAGACTGTGGGGACTGGCTGTGTCCGGCTCCTGCTGGCTGAGCTTCGGTCCTTCTTGTGGGCAGGGAGGGGCCGGCTAAAAGGCTAAGTAGTGTCCAAAGGCAGTTTAGGGTTGGGCAGGGATGCCACCGATCCCTAGACTGGGACATTAGCAGCCAGGCCACCTGGGACCAGAGCTTCTCCAGAGGACATGGCTGATGATTCTGAAAATGTTATTATAAAAGATAATTATACAGGGTATTTACAGTTGTTCCTCTCCCATACATTTTTAGAGAGGGTGGAGGAACAGATTCTATTAGAATACACTGAAAGATCCCCTGTTCTTTTTAGTCTTCCCTCTTTTCCACCAGCGTATCCCCTGTTGTGAACTCCCTGCCTGCCTCGTGTGTCCATGTCACTGTGGGCCCAGCGAAGCCTCAACACCCACACTTGCATGCCCACTGGTCTCGTCTCCCTTGAGTCTGACCTTTCCTTTGTGGCATTCTGCGTCCGCCACTCATCCTTGTTACCTTTGCCCACTGACCCTGAGAGTCCTCAGTCCCTGCATCTTAGGGAGTCAGGGGGTGCTTATGTCTCCTCTACCCAGGACAGAGGCTGTGGAAAGAGATTTGTCACCTTCCAGGAAATGCAATTTCAGGCTCCCCAATGTCCTCGGAGGGGAATGTGGCCGGTGAGTGACAGTGCCAGCGGTCTCCAGGCACCAGTGATGGCCTCTGAGCCGGCCTCAGTGTTCACAGCTACCAAACATGGGCAGTATCTCACTCCTATGGTTATTGGGAGAATTAAAGGCATATAAATAATTCATATTCAGCACACACCTGGAACATTGCTAAAGCCCAGTAACGTGAGTTATTATTGTTAAGGAGAATGATAGGCCCTCAAGGTCAGAGTGAACCTACTTCCACCCATTCAGTCTTCAGTGGGGCTGGCAGACCTATGTTTCTTGTCCTCTGGGTAACAACCCTGAAGAGACTAAACACAGTGATTAAGCCATCACTTCCGTCCTAGAGAGGGCCACTCTCTGACACCTCGCCCAGTACGGAGGACCACGCTTTATTCCTCGGGCTGTGTCCCCAAGGCTCTCCCTGCAGGTTAGGCCAATGGCTTCACTCTCTCCCCTTTACCAGCTTCAGTCCCTTTTTCAGAGCTTCTCCTTCAACCTTTCATTCTCGTCTTATACATTGATTTGTTTATTGTCTGCGGTTCCTGAGAATTTGAGTTGACATTCACAGATTCTTCCACAGACCCCATCACGATGTCCTGTGCATGGGAGACCCACGGTATTTTTGAACGAATGGTCCAATGTGTGAAGGTATTCCATTTCTCCACCATGATCTTCCAAGGACCAACTGAATTGCCACCTCCTTCAAGAAGTCTCCCTGATTCCTGCCGCCTCTACCTTCTCCTCATACCTTCCTATCTTTCGCTCCTGCCTCTTAGCTTACTGAGCCCAGGAACACAGCTCTGTGAACACAGCCGTCTCCATGACTGAACTGGGTTTCCCTACGAGGTCAGTGAATTTGAACACCCACCTCATGGGGTTTGGTCCTTGTCTCTTTGTGACCCCTCATATCAACTAGGCCTAGTTCACGGTGACACATGCTTGCTGAATTATTGAGCCACAGTAGCTCACCCAGAGCTCAAAACAGAAGTGCCCCTAGAGGCGCAGGTCAGAGGATGTGCTGAGTGATGTCAGGGGTGCAAATGACATTTTTCTCCAAGGAGAAGAAGGAAACAAGCCGGAGTAGCAGTGTCTCAAGTCCCTGGAAGGTCTGCCCAAGGGTTTCTCACTTTAAGGATCAGGACAGTGCTACGCACAAAGGCTGGACCACTCCCCATCACCCTCAGCCAGGCAGAGACAGTTCTTTGGTCTGTGACCATTCAGACCCTCACCACCCATCTATGTGACAATGTAAAGGTCCCTTTATTAATTTTATTAATTTTTTTTTCAGCAAAGCCCATACATTTTGCTTTCCTGTGTGGATGCTGTTTATTTAATTATCATTGTAGGAGTCTAAAAATAAGCCTTGTTTTACTCAGAAAACCAATCTTCCCTCTCAGCTCCAACAAAAGCACAGTATGAAAGGGAACTTCCACAGGCCGAGAAGAGAGAACAAATGGAAGCTTCTCTGGCAAAGCAGTTGGTTTGCAGGTGGTACTGGCATTCCTAATGGGAATGAGGGTAGGGCATGGGGCAGGAAACGCTCCCCAAGGCCCTCTCCTCTGCCTGCTTTAATTTTTCCTGGGACAGTCTCATCCATTTTTTTTTTCTGCTTTAGCTGATGATTTTGGAAGCTGCCTCCCTGCTGAGTCTCAGAACCACCTCTCCACCTGTCTGCTGGCCCCCTGGAAGACACCCACCATTAACTGAAAACACTATCGGTCCAAAGCCAGGTTCAAGGTCTCTACCTCCTCTCTTGACCTCCTGCCAACCTGTTCCTTGTCTAATGTCCGCTAAGGCCACACCTCTCGTCATCCACACTCCTGAGTTCCTTTCGACTTCTCCTCCTCCTGGTCTTTCCATTCTAGTCTTTTTTTCCTGCTCTGATACTGTGCCTGCACCAGGTCAGGCTTTCTTTACCATCTTTCTTCATACCTGGCTCAGTCTTCCGGCTGACTGTCCTGGGTCCGGGGATTCCCTTCTGACATTTACCCAGAAGACACCTGCCAAATACATCTTCCTGTCCGTACATCACTGGAGCCCCCAGAGTGGCTCCCTAGTGCCTACTGGCTGAATTCCTTAACCTCATGTTTCAGGTCCTCTGCATCTCTAGCAAACCTGTTGTTCCTGCTTATTTCAAGCCACTTCCCTCTTTGTACACCTGAAATGCTAGCAAACCAGCATATTGGTGAAGCGTTCAAAACATCATGCCCTTTTGCAATTTACTTGGATTTCCATTTCTGTATATTTAAATCCTGCTCATGATTGTTGGTCTAGCTGAAATGTCACCTTTCCCACAAAGCCAATCATTCCTTCATCAGCCAATATTTATTAAGCATTTATTCTGTTACAAACACTCCTGATCGTTTCGGCACACAGACACTCTTGTGAACATATTCAGATCCCCCATTATGCTGTAAATTTCTTAGAGCTGATCTTTTATTTATTTTTATATCTTCAACACTGCCTAATAATGTGCCTTGCAAATACTGGGTGTTCAATAATATTTGTTGAATCAAGATTCATGCTGTCTGTGGTCTTAATGTTGTTTAGTTTAATTCTCCTAGGGTTTTTTTTTTTCTGCTTAAGTATGCATGTCCAGAAAGAAGTAAAAATAAACTAATGATACTTCTCAGCAGCTCTAAGCCTGTAATTACGGTTAACTCTCAGTTATCCATGCCATTGGGGGAAAAAAAGAGCATCCAAAAGAATTCCACACGAGAAGCAAAGAAACATTATTTCTATCAGTCTTTGACATGTATTGCATAATTTTTAAGCATCTGATTTGTCATTTTAATTCTGTTTGACTGATCAGTTGATATTTGCTTTTATAGTCCCTCAATAACTGGCGGGGTGATAGGCACGAAAGGGGAGATGGAGAACTCTGCTGGTTTGGAATGAAACATTTGCTCTGAACAACTTCCAAGGCAAGGCTCCGGATCATCACAACATCACATGCTCCCAGGTGTGGCCATTTCTCTCCAGTGATAAAAGAGACTCCCAAGACCCCTAAACAGCTCATTATTTGCTAAAGAAGATGACAAGAGCCACCAGGACCAACGGGGTTCTGGGATGGAGGGGGGGCTCTGCTGCCTTCCAGTCTGTTGGCATTGGAAGGTGCCTTGCTGTGCCACTGGGAACCTCTGGATGCAAATCAAAGGAACCGATATTTGCAATGTTGCATCGATAGCCAGATAACGTAGGGGAGAAAGTTCCCCTTTTCCACTTCGGAAGCAAACAAATATCACATGTGGTGACTCGGCAGCTGCATTAGTTGGGGAAAATTGATGCACATTTCATGTGTCAGGGAGCTGAATTCCAGAGAATGGAGCCAGCCTCCCAGAAAATGGTTTCTTTATATAGTTCCATCCATTTATTGTTTGATTGGACTTTCTGTATATTAAATTCAAGCTGTTCTGCAGCTCATGGGTATTATGATGCGTTGGCTCGGTGGGAAATAATGAAGGTGATGGGATTTTACAGCATCGCATTACAAAGGAGGCGTCCCCAGCCTCATCCATCTCTCCATCAACAAGCTTGTGTGTGAGGTGGCACTTATATTAAAACGATTTTTCTGATTCCGTTTAATGACACTCATTCGAGTCCTGACACCAGGAATACGATTACATGAGCTAAATGCAATCTTCCTCCATCCAGTCATGGTCACTGAAGGCTGAGCTCTTCCCTCCTCAGTCCCACCTTCCCATTCACCCATCCCTTGCATTGAGCTGGGTGGAGGGAGGCAGTGAGGAGACGAGGTGGGCATTCTGGCCGGAGGAAAGTGGGTTGGACAGAGTAGGAGGCTGAACTTGAGCTGGGGGCTGGGAGAGCTGAGCCCTTTGGCAGAGAACTTTGAATATCCAAAAGCACCATGATAACACTTCCCTCCTTGTCACAAACAAGTCCTCCTTAGAAGTTGGTTAGCAGTCAATACTGTGCGCTCTTTCCAAAAGAGATGGACAGGTCTGGTCCCTACTTCCCAGAAAAGAAACACTGACCAGTGGATGAACATTTAAGATACATATGAGCCTTGGGGAGAGCGTCAGCTTCCTAGAAACACTTGGCTGTGTACAGGGCAGGAGGGGGGCACTCTGCTCCTCTCCCTGGTCTAGAAGAGCTCCCAGCCCTGATGGAGGGTGGATAGGACCCTGCAATGGCCTGGGTCAGGTGCTCACCGAAACAAAACACTCAAAACAGTGACTGAAGGGCTCTCCCCCTCCCCTGAGGACAGGAAGGGCCAGGTAGATGACTTTTATTTACATGATTTTAAGGCGGAATAATTGCTGCTCCTCGGGAAGAATCCTGTTTGTGTTTACGGGTGTATTTAAAGAGGGAAACCCAAACAAAACCAAGCAGAAAGAGGTTGAGATTGATTTCGAGAGATTCCGGAAGAGAGCTGTGAAATGAGCACCAGCCTGGAAATTCCTTTCCAAAAATTGCAGCGATTTGAATTACTGAATCGGAAGACAAATCCAACACGAGGCTCCTAGTGCGAAGCACCCAAAGCCTCAAGACTGACCTTGCCCTCCTGGGTAGCCTGAAACCCTGTGCCCACCCCACTCTCTAGGGAGCTCCCGCAGTTGACAAGTGGCCTCTGTTTGGTGTCTGCGTCAAGGCATGATGGTGAACACATATCAGTCCCTTGCCAGGTGCTCAGGAACTGCTTCCTTGGTGCAAAATCCAGGTGCGGATACTCCCTGCTTATACTCTGAGATGCTGCGGCTACAGCTCAGCTCCTTGGGCTTGTTCTTTCCATGCGGAGATGTCAGCTGCCCTGGGCCTTGGAGCCACCCTGCAATACCTTGAGGCCTCTACTTGTGAGATGCTTCCCCTTGGGCAGGAAAAAGATCTTTAGGACTGTGTCTTCCCAGACAGTTCCTTGCTGTACAATTTTGGAAAGTGTCCTGTTGCCTCTCTACCTCCAAATATATGCAAAATCTCCCCCTCTTCCCATCTCTACTGTTACCACCACCACCTCTTGCCTGGATTATTGTGCTGGCTTCTCCCCTACATTATACTTACTACCCAGCAGCCAAAGTGATTCTCTGGAACATAAGACGGCGGCTCAAAACCCTCCAATGGTTTCCCATGCAAAGCAGAGTAAGAGGCAAAGACCTCGTGGTGGTCGCAAGGAGCCTGTCTGAGCTGCTTCCCCCATTACCTCTCCAGTCTCATTTCCTGGTCCTCTTCTGCCCCCTCTCATGCAGCTCAACCGTTAGGGACTTCCTTGGAATTCAAAGAATAGCAAACCAGACCTCTCCTGCCGGATTTTGCATTTGCTGTTCCTTCTGCTTGGAATGTTGTTCCCCAAGCTACCCACATTCTTTCAAGTCTCTGCTCAGTATCACCTTAACTGAGAGCTTCTTCTTGACCTTCTAATATAACATAATAACTCACTCAGTACTCCTTCACACTCAGTACTCCCTGTCACGTCATGCTTTATTTTTCTCCGTAGCCTGAGATGATTGTTTGTTAACTTGCTTACTGTCTAGTACTGTCCACTAAGCGGCACAAAACTGTGTTTCCAGGGGCTAATGGGTGTTCAATATATATTTGTTGAATGAATAATTAAATTGAGAGAAGCATCATGGGCAGGGCACTTAGCTATAGCTCCTTTCCTGCTCCTCCTGGGCTCAAGAGTCTGGAGGGGAGCATCGCCAAATAACCAAAAACAATAACAAGGATTGGGTGCAGATTTTCCTTGCAAGAAGGCCCACTTCTGCTAAGACTAAAGGCTTGTGGAGGGCTTGCTTGGCTCCCAGTCTTTGCCCTGCCCATAAACACCCCGCCTGACGTCTGGCTAACTCAGCTGCTGGCTCTCCCAATGGCCAGAAGATGGTTATCAAATGAGAAAACGGAAGCTGGGCAAGTCAAGGTACAAACCTGTTTGGTTGAACAAATAGATATTAAAGCCCTGTGCTAGGCACACACCCTACAGTGATTTTTGGTAAAAAAAAAAATGTGCCTTGAAGAGCTCACAACCTGGGGAAAAAACAAACAGCCAAAGTCAATAAAATGTGGCAATGACAAGACAGAAGAATGTAAGGGCTACACTGGGAGGCAAGAGGAGAGTCCCTATCTCCTGGAGGGACAGGAAGGCCTCATGGAGAAGATGCTATGGGGTTAAGTTTGAAAGATAATGTGAGTCAGCAAGACACAGGAAGTTAAGAAATGTCACCAAAGAAAGGATTTTGAGGTCATTTGTTCTCAGTGTCTTATGATCAGTTCCCTGGGCAAGGACCCAGTGGGCACATTAACCAGTGCCCCGACTGAGGCACTTGGGCGCTGGGAGGAGGGTTGATGGGCCCTGGAGGCAGCCGATGAAGGTACAGACATACTTCTGGAACCTGATGGGTTAACAAAAACAGATCTCAGACCGACTCCAGTTCTGGCACCAGGAGTGCCCGATCGAGTGCCCCCATCCATAGTGTTCCTGTCTCGTTCTCCTAAGCCAAGTGTCCCTGTCTCCTGGAACTCAGGCAAGCCCCTTCCAGGATTGTATTTTAAAGGGAAATGCAAATCACCTGGAGGCTGCTTTGTGCCTGGAAGAAGTAAAAATCGATTCTGTTTTCGTTAAAGTGATTTTTTGGACACTGTCAAAAGCTCTCATCTCAGAGCACAGGGTGACAGATAGGCTGCCGATCTCAATTACGTAACTGAGCCGACCTGGCAGCAGAGGGCCATCTCATCAGGAGCAGACGCGGCTCCAGCCATTCCCAAGCCCGATTCCCCTTCTCTAAGATACTCAAGAGTGACCCCATTCCATTCAGGCCTGGAACTGGCCTTCTGCAACCCTTGTGGATGCCTGCTCACCAGGCTTTCCTTCCACATGCTCTCCTGGTCCCCACCTGAGTTCCCCTGAGGGACTGGCTGGGGCAGTCCAGGCCCACCGTGAGGCTGAGCAAAGTCAACCAAATGAAGAAGGGAAATCTGCTTTGAAAAGGTTTACGTCACATAATACATTCTCGAACTAGTTACGTTGGTCTTATTGAATATTGGGAGTTCTATGTTATCCCTTCCCCTCTGCTAACTCAGATAATTGGGAATTTATTTTATTTATAGCATCAATTATGAATATGGAAATTAATCCTTGAATGGTGAATTTCCGGAATTCAACTGTCAAGGGAGCGCACAGAAAGTCTGGGCAGAGCTCCGGGGTCTCTCCCACCAGCACAAGAGGCTGTAAAGGAAAGCCACCCTCAAGCCCAGGTGGCAGTTTGGACTGTTATTGTTCTTGTGTGTGGAAGGAACGTGAGAACATTAAATAACCGGTAATCATTGGCTCCAGGAGATCCCTCCCTGGGGGACGCTAGTAACTCATTGGCAAAGTGCTGGAAAAGCAGGCAGAGATGGCAACGGAACTAGGAAGAGCCAGCACCTCCCCTCAGCACATCAGCCCTCCTCCTGTCAGCCAGCCCGGCTCTGCAAAGCAGCGGAAGACCGTCCCTCTGCAAAAAACGGAGCTTGGGAGAGGAGTAGGGCAAGGGCAGTCTGGAGACAGGAAGAGGTAGGTGTCTGCTGGGAGGTGTTGGAAGCAGGGACACTCTGGCAGAGAACTGGTCCTTGATATCCCACGGCCACTTGAGGCTCAACTGCCAGTGCAGAGTCAGACAGAGATAGGCTTTTCCCAGTGGTTGAGAAAAGCTACAACTAGCCAGTGAATGTGCTCAGGACAGGCACCAGCCAGGGGAGAGAAAAGGTTTCCCCAACTGAGTCAGCAAGTCCTCCAGTAAGAACAGCATCTCCACAGTCCTGCAGAGCATCTCAGTGGACAGATCAAGTCACCAAGTAAAGGCCCCTCTCCTCTCTTCCTGGGAACCAAGGCTTGGATCTATACCCTTAAGAGAGAACAGACATGTCCAAAGGGGACTGAGGACAGCATCAGGCCAAGTGAATGGAGCAGGACCCCATTTAACCCGAACCATCCATTAAAAAGCCTTTTGTCAAGCATCTGCTATGGAGAGTCAAGCAAAGGAGCCTGGTAACGGTGCCAACTGCCAACTTAGGTCAAAGTCAGAGTAGCCTGATCCGGCACTGAGCTCCACCAGCCAAGATGGAGGGGGGAAGAAGAGGCTGCTTTCTCGTAACGTATCTGAGTTTAAGGAAGACACTACTGAATGGTTTCCTTTCTTGCCTGAGTGGTTCTCCTCCCAGAAGTGAGACAGTTTAATGCATGGGGAAGGAAGACAGACTTGTTTACTGTAGGTGTGGGGTGAGCAAACCCAAAGGCCCACGGTTGGGGAACCATGCTTCACCCCAATGCAAGCATCCTTCTCATCATTTTTACCTTCACTCTTAGAGTCTGTCTGCTCCCCCATCTCCATCCTAAGAAAGTAAATAGGAAGCCAAGACTGTCCAGCTCTCACGCTGGACTTGCCCCTTGAACTACAGGGCAAATGCTAAAGGAAATTAGCTGTTTCTCTGGCAGCAGTAAAACACTGGATCTTGCTACGAAAACAGCCTTTAATATCTAAGGCAGTACTTTAAACTGCCTAGAAAGAAATGTTTCATGTATAAAATTTCTGTGCCTGGTACAGTGCCTGAAATGCAGTACTCACTGAGCGGATGTTTTCTTGACTAGTAATATGACCTGAATAGAATATCATACCCTGAGGCCATCTAAAGAGGCAATAAACCTGAAGGTCTGATTTCTATCTCTGGGCCCTGGTGGATTGAGAACAGAGTGGAGTGATAGAGTGAAAAAAAGAATGGGCAGAAGGCCCTAGCTTTTGAAAATTAGCTCTGCCCTTTATCTGTGATTATGGGAAATTTACTTAACCTCTCTGAGTCTCACCTTTTGTATCTTTAGAGGGTATAGAATTGTTCCTACTTAGCAGGACCATTGTGAAGACTCAGAGCTAATATATGCAAAGTGCTTAGCACAGTGCTGACACATAGTAGACGCCCATATGTTGTTCTACTAATAATAAAAAGTAACGGGCAGGTGGCCAGTGAAGTTTCCATTGATGTCCTCCGAAACGATTTAATTTTAATTCTGACATCCATCAGTCTACTCAGGGTTTATTCCTATAAAAGTTTCTCCCTCTGTTGTATTGAGTCCTATCAAAAGGAACCTGAGGACACTGGGCAGTCAGGGCCATATCAGGAGAATACCTTGGGGTCTGGGGTGTGTGTCCCTGGCCATGGGTGAGGTCCCCTTCAGGAAGGTGAAGGGATGGTCTGGTAGCCACAAAAGTGCCTCTTTCTCCTGACAGCAGTCAGCTTCCAGGCCCATTTTATACTTCAATATCCCAGTATGCCCAAAAGCTCACATCTACCACTTGAACCAGGAAAAATAAAGTCAAATAACCCCAAATTCTTACTCACCCCGGGTGAGCAGCTACTTGAAAAAGAGAATGTGTGTGTGTGTGTGTGTGTATGTGTGTGTTGGAGTGGGAGGAAGGGGCAGGGTGGCTTCTGTTAGACATAGAGGTAAAGGAAATGTCCCCATCAAATGTGGCCTTCACAAATGGATTATGACACCCCTTGCTCTCCCCCTTCCCCTCCCTTGTGGCAGAATGACAAATATAATCACTTTAAAAGGTCCCATCACCTGCTCAGTCATTCCCAATAAGCATACACAGCACTATGGAAAAACCAACACCACCGCCAAGGGGTTCCCGCCAGGAAAAGAAATCAAATCACCAGGATGCCACCAATGGAATTGTCAAAGACCAAATAAAAAGCGTCATGAATTCTCCATCAGCAATATAACACTCCCTGGCCTAAGCAAATATAGACCCAGCATATGAACTGTGGAGGGATTTTGCATTCGCCTCAATGGCTTCCTACGGCTGAAGCAGAAACCCCTATGAAATCCATGTCTCCATAAAGATGCCTTTATTGGCTCTCATCCAGTTAGGGTGAAGACTGTAATCTCCTTCCTGAGTCCCCTGCTTCTGAGACCTCCCCGAGCACCTCTCCCTCCCTATGATGATGCTGCCGCTTCTGTCTGACCATGTGATCCATTCAGATGATCTCACTGCTACCCAGGTGGGCCAGGTCATTCCATCATTGATTCAGGCTGAAAAAGCAAGACTTTCCTCCTTTAGTGAGAAAAGAGGAAAACAGGTGCCTCACTTTTTAGGCAAAACCCCAGTTCAGGGTCACTTAGAGAAAGTCTGCTTAGAGCGACTGAACCCTTGATCATTTGTGGCAGCAGAGAAAAAAAAAAAATAAGGCAAATGAGAAAACAGCTGGCAAATATACTAGGAAGAATCCAGAAAGAATGCTCTGGGTGTCTTCTGGGGAGGGAAATCTACACCTTCATTACCACCTTCACTGAACTTCTCACAGCCCTCTTCCTCCCCACGACAGCCCTTAGAGGCGCAGATGCTCCTAAGGATACAGCCATCAACTCCCCGGACCCTACATATCTCTCTCTCTC